TCGTTTGAGCTTTCCAGCTTTTCTAGTTCCCAAGCTAGTAATTTTTCCGCCAAAACTTCCAAATGCCGGTACGTAACTACAACGCGTACCTGACAGACTGAATTTAAAATCTTTAAATTGTACATAGACGCGGAATATTCTCTCAAAATTTCAGTTTTCCAGCTTTTCTGGCTGCCGAGTTAGCATTCTTTTTCCTGCCAAAACTTTCACGCGCCCGTACGTGGGAACTACGCATGCCTAGCGGGCTGAGTTTGAAATCTTTAGCTCAAACATGCGCAGAGAATATGTCTGCAAAGTTTCAGCTCTCTATCTTGTTTGGTTCCCGAGGTCGCTTTCCCGCCAAAAAATCTGCATATTTTCGCCGCTTCTGCGCGTGGGACTCATAGCACGCAGATGATAATATTAAAACGGGACAGCCACACAGATGTTGGGCACATACTCCCGAAATTTCATCTTCCACCTTTCCTGGCTCTCGAGTTGAAAGTGGGTAACAAAAAGTGCTAACATACAGACAACCTTCTGTCAATATGCGTTCTTATATTCGCATCTATATGCAAAAACGGACTTCTTGGCGTGGCTTAAAACATTGCTCCCGTGCTTCTGTCCAGAGAATCTTTGAGTTGGTAAACCTTTCAGGAGAAAAAATGGCTAACGAGCTGACCACTAAGCCGAGCAGCGTAGGTCAACGTGCTTGGAAAATCTGTTAGTTGTATATCTGGAGGACGAAATTATGGATTATAGTTAATCCTCACATTCCAAGTATCGTCTCACATCCTCACATCCCAAGAACGACAGATAACAGAGGTGCCAAAAATGTCACATCGTAAAATTTATAAGCAATTTTCGTGGAAAATTTCACAACCAAAAAAAAAAAAGCTTACCTTCGTGATAGCATTAAAATTCGTTGTCGTTTCTTGTACCAAAGATAAGCTGCCGCAAAAGCGATACCGCCGGCCAGCACTGCCAATGTACGCCGCGTTAAGAACATAATCAAAGTGCCGACAATCGGCACTCCCTTCAAACAACACACAACTTGTGCCAATGAATCAAACCATTGCGCAAAGTTGCCTTTTTTCATTTTTTTTAAAATTTCAACCCAGAAATTATTAGGGTTGGCCGGAGGCTATTCATAAGAAATCAGAGACCTTCTATCTTGGGCTGTTTGTTTGCAATTTCTACACGAAGCA